TCCAAACATATGTGCAAGTTGTACACAGTCCAATGCCAGGGAGCACCATTCAGATAACCTTATGAATGAATCGGCACTCCCTGGAGAAGTGCAATCCACAATCTGTACGGCCATAGCAGCCCACACTGCAAGCTAGTACCATACAAATCTGCATAGACCTGAAACCACGTGTCTATGCAATACAGGAGATAATAAACGCCCACTTGGTTTAAATCACTCCTAGTGAAGACTATTACTTCCAGCCAGAAGATCCTAAAACGACACAAGGAACTGTAGTTGGAGACCAGGTTGCTAGTTCTGGTTCCTCCACTTAGCACCTCTTAGGACCTTGGTCTAGCAACCTGATCTCTTTAATCTCAGTTTGGCCTTTTGTGAAGCAAGGGAATCACTTAGGTCTTGCGTGTTACTCTCTGATGGATGTGGCCATTTCCTTTGGCACAAGTACCAAGATTTCTGTATCTTTACCCAACACCCGACCACAGCAGATGCCAGAAAGCAGTGAATATATATACATATATTCACTCTGTTAGTGCAGAATCACAACTTACCCTCAAGCTCTCCTGGCTAAAAATCCTGCAATGTAAAGAAACTGCAAAACAGCAGAATGTCTAAAGTAGGGATGCAGATGTTCACATTCCTTATAGAGTTAGGGCTCTTTTAATAAATACACCACTAATGTCTAATTCTTTTTTAAGTTTTCCAAGGGCATGCTTCTGGCCTGGCTGGTAGCCAGTCTAACCCAGCTTTGCCGATGCTGACATAATGGATTCTGCTTGAGAGAGCAACCAGGCAGCTTTTACAAATTTTGTCCATTTAGCAGGCGACTGACTTGACACAGGTGCTTTTGTTAGGTAAGGTATTTATGTGTAGTTACTGTATAACCACCTGTGCTGCAGGACTAAAGCATTCTTCATAAAACTTGGCATGCTTTCAGAAGGCAGTGTTGGTGGTTGGGGATGGGGAGCTTTTCTGTGCATTTTAAGTGGGAGCTGAGATTTGATGACTTAGGGTTGCTGCTGTTTCTGGCTGTGTGAGGAAACAGAAAAAGCGATAATCCTTAGGACAGGATTAATTCTTAGGACCGGGGCAGCCTGGTGTTAAGGAGCCATAGGGAGAGCCAGGAAGGACTAGGGTCTTGGACTATGGGCACATTTTTAGTATTCCTTTTCTGTCATGCAATTCTCTTACAAAATCCTCCATCTTTAGTGAGGTTTGTTAAGCATGGTCGCCTTGTGTTGGCTGTGCTTTGGAGAATAAAGAGAACTGCGTCCATGAGAAATCAATAGCAGCAGCATATAAAAAAGAGGCACTGAGCTTGATGTTAGTCACATATTTGACTTCAGAATCCCGAAGGTGACCAAGCACAAAAACAGATGGAGACAACAGAAATGATGCAGAATATCGATAAAGACAGCTTTTTGTCCCCCAATAATCTTGTTTCCTTCATCTGTTAAAATCACGTCTGTTTTTAAAGACGAGCACACAGTCACCTGGAATACAGACTGCATTTTCCGGTCCATGTTCCAGCTAGGGGTGGCCTTGTGATGGAGTCCTATCCCATAGGGTGCAAACAGGTTGCTAGTAAATGTTTAACAGTCAGTTCTGGGGGAGGGGGAGGCGTATGAATGGGAGAAGCCCTGATTTGTAATGTTTGCCAGTTGCCATGGTACGAATACTCTATGTCAAGCTTTCACCTTGATGGCAGTAAATATGGAGCTCAATATGAAGAGATGCAGCTCTCACAAGTTGGTACTGACTGGTTCCAGCACATCGCTGGAGATAACGAAGTGTTGCAGGTGATTTCTGGGAGATGGTCTTAAAGAACGAGGCATGTCTTAAAGGGTCGGGTATGCCCTTTGCCCTTTCCTCCTCCTGGCTGGCAGGGAGGTAGATGTGATTGGAACTCCAGCCATCATACTGGACCAGAAGGAACAAGTTGTATATTAAGGAATGGTGGCATCAAGATAGAGAAGCGGCCTTGGTCCCTGATGCTCATGGAACCAGCCCTGGGAAGTTTACCTGCAGAGTTCATTTGCATGGAAACTGGACAAAAGGAAAACATCCTTCTTACAGTCACTGATATTTTGAGTTTTCCCATTCACAGTGGAATCTATCCCAACTGAGGCATCATACATGCTATACAAGATGTCTGACAAAACTACGATTTTTATCTGGTAGACTCTTAAAGGTTTCAGATTTGAAACATCATCATCTGACCCTTTCTAGAAGGGACAAAGAGGATGGACGGAGAATAAAAGGTAGGAAAAAAAAAAATTGTGCTTAGCTGTTACACCTCAAAATATGCCAGGCACCTTCCAGAGCACAGGCAAGAAAAAATAAGCACAGAGCAAGGCCAGCAATTATATAAATATCAGTAAAGAAAGCAGAAAAAAAGAGAAAAGTAACTTGAAAGTAATCCCTCTACCTCAGTTCCTCCTCTCTGACCTACAGATCCATGAGGAAGGACAAGCTAGCCTCTATCAACACCTTCCTCCTTGGATGTGTGCGCCCAGCTCACAAATCCATGAGCCGGGGGCTCAGGGAGGACTCTCCTGCCAAGGACAGTCTAACTTCTCTGCCTGAGAAAGAAAGATTGTTCTCAGACATCTTTCTTCTAGAGCTTTATTCCCAGGCTGAGAAATGAGAACTACATAAAGTCGCTTGGGAAACTAAGTTGACTCAGAGGCAGCATTCAGGCAATTCAGTCCATTCTGGCTTTTCGGATTTGAGAAAAAATGTATTGCTCAGGCATAGCCTGGCTTGTTTTTTTTCTATGTGTTGTACACCGGGCACACGATCAAGGTAAAATGACTCCCCTTCAAATATAAGCAAAATTAAAGTTACACATGAACTCCTCTGAAAAGTTAAGTGCTACGCAAAGAAGATAATAGTGTCATAAATAAATTATTATCTATTTTTGAAATAAGGTTTACACAGGTCAAACATGCAGCTCAGCAGTGATAACTGAGCATCTGTGATGTTATAAAATGTGTCACTATGCTCACTCTGTGGAGATCCTACAGGGAGATTTGCCATTCACTCCTTATCCAGTGAGTCTCTGACTACGCATTTACGTCACTTCAGAGCCTTGGCAACTTCAGACTAAAGGACTCCTAGAGTCAGCATGATCTTCAGTCCCTCCTCACCAACTATACCCTACTTTTCTCCCAACAAAAGTAATGCTAAAAAATGAACTTAGCCTGATGTGGGGAGTGGGGAGATTCTGGTGACAGGAGGACAGGGGCAGGAAACAGCAAGACCAAGTCAGCAAGAGCAGAAAAATCAGCCTGATGGATGAGGCATACACAAACACATCAACGCCTGTGGGCAAAGGGGTTATGAAAGCAGCTAAATAAAGCATGTCTCGTTCTTAGATAAACACTGGGCAAGAATGAAATTTCTAGTCATCTATCTTCCAGAATCCTGACAGTAACTCGCATTTACAGAGTCAAGCATCTTTAAAAAGATTTGCAGATTCTTGCTGCAAACATTTAAGGACTCACTTTATCACTCTTTTTTTTTGAGATGAAGTCTCATTCTGTCACCCAGGATGGAGTGCAGTGGCGAATCTCGGCTCATTGCAAACTCTCCCTCCTGGGTTCAAGTGATTCTCCTGCCTCACCCTCCCAAATAACTGGAACTACAGGTATGCACCACCATGCCAGGCTAATTTTTGTATTTTTGGTAGAGAGGGGATTTCACTATGTTGGCCAGGCTGGTCTCAAACTCCTAACCTCATGATTCACCCTCCTCAGCCTTCCAAAGTGCTGGAATTATAGGCGTGAGTCACAGTGCCTGGCCACCTTTATTACTCTTAACTCAGAGAGCCAGGCACTGGAGTTAGAACTATCTAGGTTCACATCCTAGATCTGTCATTTACCAAGTATAACAAACTGTGTGCCTAACCTCAGTTTCTCCAGAAACTTACAAAATTAGAGAGAATCAACATAAAGCACTTATGTGAAAGGTCTACAAAAAACAACATTCTCCAAATCAGAGCTACATAAATTTGAGGGTTGAAAAATTTTATGGTTGCTGTTGATATGCAATCAAAACTAAAATTGATTAGGTTTATGGCAGAGTTTCAAATTATAAAAAACTGAAATGAACCAATACACATTACACAAATCCACACTTGAAGCATCTTGGTCTCCAGCAGAGAAAAATGAGATAAACCTGGACAAAATCTAACACTGCTCTTATGGCAAACTCTACCTCCACTTTCATACCTCTATTCACTACCTCCACTCTCTGGACCCAAAAAATAGCACTCCTGTTCTCTTGGGCAATAGAGTAACTTCTGCCATTTTCCGTTTTAATGGAGGCCTGACATCTGTAGACTACCCGTATTATCATACTGGCACACTGGCCAAATTCTAAAGGGAGGCTTGAAACTTTGTGAAATAAGCCTACCTGCGCAAAATAAGCCCAACTGCGAAGAAGTCTATTTTTGGCAATTCAGTTTATATGGGGTTAACTTAATGACAAAATTGTCTAAAAACTATTGTCAGAAAACATCAAAGCAAGCATATTTGTCCTTCAAATATAATTCTGATTAAAAAGGAAGAGAGCTGCTTCCAAAATCTAATAATCTCCTTAACAAGTGAAACAGAAAGAATCTTCATCAGTAGTTTGGAGGATGCATGACAAAGTGTGGGAAACGGCTTGTAAAGGGAGGGTGTGCGCTGATTAGCAGGGGGTGCACTAATCCTTAAATAGGAACAACTTAGAAAAGATGAAGGTGGGTTTAAAATGTCCTGATTTGGGAGCAGTGCTGATCATCATCAAGACTCTGCAAACCTTTGAGCCAACCAGTTATGCAGCATCTAAATTAATTTTGTAGGTTTTTAAGTGTCAAAGAAATTACTACTAGAAATTGTGGTTATGCACAAATGCTATGACATTTTCCTGAGTAAATACATCTTACATCTCTTGGGGTATATATTGAACCAGCTTAGCTGAAGCTAAAAGCCAGACTAGAAGCAAGAAAATAAACTCACTTGTCAAACTCGTCAAAGAGATCACAACTCTGCAGTTTTGAAAGAGCAAGTCGAAAATATTCCGCTAGAAAACAAATGCAGTGTTATGAATAAAAGGATGATCATGTCTTTTTAGTACTTAGTACTTATAAACCACCTTACTCCCTCTCCCACAAACCCATTTCCAAGCAGCATGGCCACATTGACATATTCTGTGACAAATTAACAATACAACTACAATTAGCCAGCACTACTCAGCAGGCCCACTCAAAATGGTAAATGCTCTAAAGACATTTTCTAAAACCTCCCCCCAAAACAACACATTTAATCTGAAAAATAATCATAAAAAGTAATTTTAAAGTAATAGCAGATGATTCTGAAATTGACATTAGAGTAGAAATAAATAGTAAGTTTAAGCTAATTCTCAAATTCTATGTAAAATATTTTTAAAATAAAAAACAAAACAAAAAATGCAACCCCCACCCTCACAGGATCAGTTGAATAAGCAAAATCTAACTCACAATGTTGGAGGCTTGTCACCTTGGGCTTTTATGGTCCCTTGAAAATCTAGAGCTTAATGCTATATAGGGCCAATCAGTTATCATTAAGCAGAAGGGAAAGTGTTTTATCTTTAGAAGATGGAATAATTATCTCTCAACTTAACAAAAATAAAGGCCGGGCGTGGTGCCTCATGCCTGTAATCCCAGCACTTTGGGAGGCTGAGACAGGCGGATCACGAGGTTGAGAGATCGAGACCATCCTGGCCAACATGGTGAAACTCCATCTCTACTAAAAATACAAGAATTAGCTGGGCGTGGTGTCGCCCGCCTATAGTCCCAGCCACTTGGGAGGCTGAGGCAGGAGAATTGCTTGAACCGGAGAGGCGGAGGTTGCAGTGAGCTGAGGTCTTGCCACTGCATTCCAGCCTGACGCCTGGCAATGGAGCAAGACTCTGTCTCAAAATAAATAAAATATCCACTGGTTAAATTAAAAGGCTGCTTAAGCAGATAAGAATTGCCGATGAAGTAAAACGAAACAAGTAAAAAGAATCCATGGGAAGCTAGGAAGGAAGTTAACTCTCAGGTTTTCCTGCTAATTCTAAATCAGAATGAAACAAGGCACCAGAACTTACATGGATTACTTACTTGGTGGCACAGCAAATGTAAAAAGTAGTTTCTCAACGACAACAACAAATCTGCCCCTTTTACCCTTTACTTCTCTACTGCCTCGAAAGGAGTGGGAATTTATATTTTAAAATGTAATTCATTTCATTCCATCCCCAAATCATATCCTTTGGAAATCATTAGGAAGCAGAAAGAATAAAAGCCCTTAAAATTATATTAACATGCCATTCTGATCAAACACCACTCAAATTTAACAGAACCAGGTAAGAATACTACTACTGACCTGATGTTCTCATCCCATAGGGCAAATCAAACTTATCGCTACCATACAAGGAAGCAATCTTTCTAAAATCAGCTGCACACAGAAAAGGGTGAAACTGTTGAAACCTGGAAGGAAAGGATAAAGAATGATTTTGCCAAATACCTACTATCTTTGCAAGCTTTTAAAATCAAAACTAAAAGTAACTATACATGTGATTCATATTGTTATATCGCATGTATGAAACTATAATTTTTTTAAATAAGTTTAAACAGTGCTGAAATATTGCATAGAATGGGGTATGCAATGGAACTACGCAACTGAAACACTTTACAGCTACTAAAAAGAAAATTATGTTACAACTCAGGAAGTAAAAACAAAACTTAAAAACAAACCAACACCAAGTGATAATAGCCAATATAGGAAGAAACAAAGTAATATCATAAAAGTACTGATGCTACTCTATTTCTAAATTTAAAAGCACCAAATATGTGACGCTGTATCAGCTGTGACAAGTCTGAGGTCACTAACCCATAAATTACAAAGCTGAAATTCACACCCAAGCCTAATACTAAGGAAAGGTGTTCTCTTTGTAATGATGAAGATAACAGCTGCAAGTTTCCCAAAAGCTTCTCCAAATTGCTGCTGGCTTTTCTGTTTCTGAGAAAGTGGCCTCAAGTACACTCTAGGGGACTGCCCTCAGATAATACTGTCCACATGACAAACACCAATCTACTTGTTACTTACATTATAGACTTATATACCCTGCTAAGTAATCTTGCACACATACTTTAATCCTTTCGGGTTTTCTCAGAAAGGAAAAGATATCTTTTTTTCAGTAAAGTTCTGGAGTACCTTAATTCTAGAGCAGCATTTTAATCTGTACTCTGCAACCCATATGTGCCTCATAAAATCAGTTTTGTGAGTCATGATCAGCATCTTTTAAAAACATGAATGGAGGCTGGGCGCGGTGGCCCAAGCCTGTAACCCCAGCAGTATGGGAGCCCAAGGCAGGTGGATCATGACGTCAAGAGATCGAGACTATCCTGGCCAACATGGTAAAACCCCGACTCTACTAAAAATACAAAAATTAGCTGGGCATGGTAGCGTCCGCCTGTAATCGCAGCTACTCCAGAGCCTGAGGCAGGAGAATCGCTTGAACCCGGGAGGCAGAGGTTGCAGTGAGCCGAGATTGGACTACTGCACTCCAGCCTGGCCAGAGTGAGATTCTGTCTCAAAAAAAAAAAAAAAGTGAATGGAACAGAACACAGTGTATCTGGAGTAGTAAAGGTCAAAATTACTTTTTTCTTATTACAAATATGTGTTTGCACTAGGTCCCAAATAAAATGCATTTCTTCCTATGAGTCACGATGAACAAAGTTTTAAAACACAATTCCAGTTTTGCGGCGGTCCTCACTGAACACACAGCCCTGGAGAGACTACAAGCCGCCACAGCACACTTAACCATATACAAAAAGTCTTATGTATGCGCAGTTTTCCAGAGAGTTGACTGACTTGCAAAGGGACCTGTAGTCCCAAAGAGTTAAAAACCAGTAATAAAAAGGTACAGTAATAAAATAGGAAAAAAAAAATCCTTAATCCTTCATAGAAAAAATGCTGAACAGATTGTGCCTCTTTTGCACAATTAAACATGCCTAGAACAGACTTTTATTTCTTGTTATCTGGAGTATTTTGACCAGCAATCTGTCAAAGGCAAGGTTACGAGGAAAAGAACATATGTGAAGAGAAGAGCACATTGTTTACAAAGCCGAAGAGCCACAATACATAATCATTTACATTTTATGTAGATTAATTATTATTTGCATTCTATGTGGTTCAGTACAAGTTAACACAAGGGAAAATTTCTACTCAAAAAGTTTAACCTAGAGGCAAGGAAGGAGAAGGCACAAAATAATAAGGGTGGAAAATAACATGGGAACAAGGGGGAAAATAAAACCCTAAAGAACAATTCACTTTTTTGTAATCAAACACAAACAGACCTCTCTAGCCTCACCTGTGTGAAAAGAATACTGGTTTGATTGAATTCCTCAATGCCTTTTCTTAAAATATATGCAGAGCTCTGACTAAAAGCACAAAAAGAGACAGGATATTCAAGCTCTTCCTTAAATATGGGGCATCCACTTTATACTGCTAAGATTTGCATTAAAAAAATATACAAGTGTGGACAATGATTACAAGCACATTTGGAATACTTTGTATGCCACGGGTTTTTTGGGGTAGATTTTTACCTCAGCAGAGAGGCAAAAGCTGGCTTTGATAAACAAGGCTGGAACTTATTTCTCCGTTTCATTTCCACAGGTGCCACCCTATGAGACAAAAATAGTGTCAGTCAGAAACCAGAACCGGGCACCCCGCCCAAAGGTAAGCAAATGCCCTGGGAACTCATTCATGGCACCACTGAGAGGTTCCATGGCAGCAAACGAAAATCCTCCCTGCACCCTTTGAGGTTTGCCAGTACCTTCGCCAAGCCCCGCACACACCTGAGCTTCATGGATATAGGGAAGGGAAGGTGGAAAGGCTGAGGTGATTAGCAACCCAGAAGTGATTCCAAGGGCAGTGATTCAAAGGGCCTTCAGAGAAACAGGAGGATACTGCACTGCAGAAGCCACAAACAGGCTCAGAAGCCAGACTCACCCCAAGGGCACGTGGCTATTTACCTCCTCCTGCCACATCTGCTGACACACACCAGCAGGGACTACCACAAAAACACCTGACCTGAGCAGGATCCACAGACCTTTGCCTTGGGATCCTGGGGACTCTACGAATCACATTCTCGAGAGTCATTTCTAACTGTCCTCTATTTTTGGCATAAATTAGGCCCTTGTGTGCTCCTGAATGGAGTACTTGTCTCCACAATTTAAAAGGGTATTGTGAAACATGACAGAGCACAACAAGGAACATAAATGAAAGGGGTGGTGGACGGCAGGATTCGGACTCAGCCGGGAAAGAGGAAAACAGCTTAATACAAAAACTTGTTACTGATCATCAATTATGTGAAGAATTAGTATTTTTAAAAAATCGATTTTCTCCTATCAGCAGCAGGATTCAAAATGAAGGAAATATCCTGAACCCTTCATGGACAGACACAATTTTCCATTTTTGTGGGTACAAAATCCCCATAGTTAGAACTGCTAGGTTTCTGAACTATGAGGCTAGTAAACTCCTTATGCAGGAAAACACCTTTCGTGAATACCACGATGGGAAGGACTCCTTGATTTATACATAAGGAAGGTACATAAATATGGTGGACCAGCACACAAGACTATAAAATCTCAATTATAGGATAAAATGAAGTCTATTATTTGGTTTCTCATTAAATATAGAAAACAAACTGGTTTAGGATATTGTGAAGACAACCTTTGGGTGACATTTTAAAAGTAAAACACAATTATCTGTCTTCATTTTTAAAGAAGCAAGTTCATTGCACAAACACCTGTCTGAGCTAACATCCCAAGGTACTTGCTGTGACTGTAGTAATGTGTTAGCTTAGGAGTGACATGGTCACTTCATCCCGGATGACAAAAGACTGTGCTGATTTACATCCTTTTCATATCTTCTTTATCATTTTCTCTGCGACCAACAATAGGATGTGTAGGAAAGTAGCAATCTAGCAAGCTTTTTGCTTTCTCTTCTATTTTTGTCTTCCACTACTAAGGGCAGGACAGAGAATGTGGCAAAGGTAAAAGGATAGAACCCTTTGATGTAGCCCTCATTTAGTAAATAATCAGACTTCAAAATTCTCTAGCCCGATATTTGGGTCCAAAGCTTAAAACGTTAGGGCCAAAACTACCTTCCTGGCATTGGGTTTTTTCCAGTGGTCATTTGCCTAACGTCCTTCCACGAAAACCATTACAATTATTTTTCAATCCAGCAGTAATGAAATCAAATGCGGAAGCATCAGCGTTTTTTCATCGTGTAAGCCCAAGTTAGAAACATGATTTAAGACACAGTACGAAACACTGGGAAAAAATACTGAGTCTTTGTCAAACACAGGAAGTTATGTGATTTATTTCACCAGACTTATGTAATGCCACCCGTTTGGGATTTAAAGGTCATCAAAACTTTTTTCCTAGCCAAAGGACTGACAATGAGAAAGGTAAAAACCCTATTACAGAGGCTTTCTCTTCAGTAAAACTATCTGTGCCTCTTTTTTATATGTGGTATTTCAAGTCAAAGCTGTTTCAAAAGATGCACATTATCATCATTCACCAAATATTTTTAAACAAAGGAAACCATTTGTAGTATCTATATTTTATCAATAATCTCTTATACAAGCATTTTAGGTTCTAAAAATTAAGTACCACTGAGCCGAGTAATTACTCCATTAACTCAAGGAGATTATCTATTGCATAAATAAAAAATGTTTTATGTCCCAAAGATGCTTAACACCATAGCTTCACTGGGAAGTCAAGAGAAACTAGGTGTTGCTTGTCAAAAACTGACATTATTGGAGATACAATCTGTAAGATCCTGGAATGGTAAAACCCCAATTTACAATGGAAAGCAAGAAAATATTCCAAACGTTACAAGGGTACAAGTTTTTTAAATAGGACCCTCTACTATAATTTGTGGGTTTGTGTGAAAGACTAGGTTGAGAGTTATTTTTATTTTTATTTTTTTTAATAAGACGGGGTTTCACCATGTTGGTCAGGCTGTTCTTGAACTTTTGACCTCAGGTGATCCTCCCGCCTTGGCCTCCAAAGTGCTTGGATTACAGGCGTGAGTCACCACGCCCGGCCCTGAGAGTTATTTTTAAATAACAAAATTAAACTTACCAATAGACGTTTGTTCCCCATAATATACAATGCAGTACGTAATAGAGGAAGACGGCACTCAGGAAAATGGCCACAAGATACCCTCTCATGGCTGGCTCACCTGAAACACAAAGAATGCAGTCCAAAGCAAAGGCTGGGTTGTTATACAAATGAATTTTCACAATAGCTCAAATATAAGCATTACTGGAAAAAATACAGAAAGAGAACTATGGGGAAAAATGAGGTAGGCCTATAATTTTGGAAGTACTAATATGCACAAAGACAATGCTTTTTCTGCCTCTCCTCTTACAGCACAACATGATGTATGTTTAGGCCAATAAACCGTTCCATGGTCTCAAAGGGTGGGGCTTCCCTACTACTTTCTTATGTTAGGTAAAAAAGAACAAAATTCCTCCAGAACAAAATTTTACACATCTATTCCATATCCAAAACCTTTTTCACAAACATTAAAAACTTCTGTTTTCTCTCAGTAGAAAGTAAAGAGATGCCTTAAGCTGTGAACAAACATGTCTTCGATGCTTGTAATGACGTTAAAATGTTACACATTTAATTGTTAAAAGTTCTTTTCCTGATTTTTAAAAACTGAGGAAAACAGCTACTGAAAAACATTCCCCACATCCATAATTTTTATACACTTTTAGATCCACCTATTTGATTTTTCAACATCATAGTACAGATATATTCAACTAATTACTTGTTTTGTATTGACAATATTGTTCATTACACATTTGTAGACAAAAACCTTGACACAATCCTTTCTAAAACGTAAATGCAAAAAAAAAAAACCCTTTCTAGAATATATTTTAAAAACCTATAAAACATGTTTGTTTAGTTTCTTCTTTTGCTTCAAAGGAAAAAAGAAAAAGTTTCCACTGTCTTGTGTAATTACAGGTAAAAGACAAATTCAATATAGGGTTCCATAACAGACCTATTTCTATGCATGTGATTTTAAAAAGGTATACTACTTCCCTGTCTCCCTCATCAAGTTGCTAGTTCATCTAAACAACTTCGTGTACCACCCCTTTCACGCCTATCCACGTCTATTAACCTTAATCATGGTGACGTAGTATAGAACCTGGCAGTCTGCTTGAATAAATTTCCAAGTAATCTGGCATTGCCTTCCTTTTCATGGTAAATACATTCAAATGGAAATCTTAAAATGAACTACTCCCTTTCCTTCCTAAGTAGAATATATTAAACATAAATTAAACTTTTCTTGATGATATGGGGTCAGCTCAACAAATTTCATTGTTCTGGGCTTTCTTACACTTGAAGCCTTCTGCATCTGATGGGTGTGTGGAGCTATCTGCTAAGCAGTCCTAAACCGGCATGATCATCTGGCTGTTGCTTTTCACTCCTTTCTTGCTGTCAGCTGTTGCTTCTCGCCGCTGTTAATGCAGTCACCACCACCCCCAAGTGCCACGATTATAAATTAGTTAGAAATGAAAACTATGTCAGGAGAAAGCAAATAAATAAGCAAGTTAATGAGCAAACTTTAGTTTATTTTTAATTAGGTATTTCTAATTAGGTATACATAAACCCTGTGAAGAGTCAACACTGGTTGGAAATCAGAAGACAAGATTCACAGCCTAACTCCACATCCGGTGTAGGGAGCCTAACCAGTCTACCTATTTTGACCTGAGAGTCCTCACATGTTTACAAGTGAGAATACATCATCTACCTCTTTGGGTTATTAGACTGTCCTGGAAGGTAGTTTACCATGGGCCAAAGTAGTGATGAACGTCTTCTTAAATGCTCAAATTAAACATTTCAGGCTCCACTAAGAATAACATCATTTATGCAAAGACCCAACAAAGATAAAACTTACCAGTAGCAGCAATTTTTAAAATATATATTTATATATAAGACAGTATATGCAGGTCTAGGGAAGGAAGTCAGTATTTACAATTCAAAATTCCTATATATTCTCCAAAACATACTCTTTGGGCAATTTATGTATTATTCACAGAACATGGAGGCAGGGGTAAGCGAGACTTTTGTTATTGTTTTGTTGTTTTTCATTCACTAATATGTAGTCTAACTGAAAACAAAGAACTGTGAGAGAATGTTATTTTTCAAACAATAAAATGAACCCACTCTTGACCACTACTGCATATACCACCTGAAAAACATTTAGGAAGTTTAGGCGCTCTCGTATTTCATGTACAATTCACAGCTTCAATATTCAAGTTGCAAAGGCCAGCCAGGATATCCTTGTTATAAACATGATTCTTCTGCTTGCTCACAGGAAAATACTTCCACAAATAAACCAATTCTCTAATTATATTCTATAAATGGAAGGACCATTCTGCTTTGAGCAAAGCATTCCAAGAAAACCCTGTTAGAATTTAAGAGGATATCTGCTTTTAAGAAGGCATGAGGCCCTTTAATATAGCTTTAATTATCAAGACAAGCAGTTTTCAAGATCTTGACATTAAACATGACCAATGCCAGCTTTGTGGCTGCAGATGCTCCTAAAATCAGGGTCCCTAAAACATCCTTTACAAAAGTGTGGGTGGAGGATAACAAGGGAGAAAAAGGACTCACTGCCAGAGGACAAATGTTCACATATTCTCCAACTAAGCTGTGTAAACCAATGTACAAGTAACCTATATACACCAGATTGAACTCAATCTTGGCAACAGTTTCACTTTGCTTTAATGGTAAAAGTATATTTTATTTGTGTTTATATTTATTGCATTAAAGTTCATAGAAAAACTTTTATATGTCCATACCCCCATTTAAGGCTCAAAATAAGCTTATGAGATGGGTGTGGAGGTGTTGTCTTCTTGATGCATGAAGAAAACGGAAGATAAGGTTGAGTTATCTGAGGTCACACAGTTCAAGGAAGACAGAAATAGATCTACAGGTCAATCCTTTCTTTCTCAGAGTTCTATGCCTGGTGTCATCCTGTCTCTCAAGATAAAAAGCACAAGGCAAATCTAAAAGAGATAACTCCAATCTGAAACTTCCTGATGGTGTTCCATTGGTATCTTGAAGTCTGGAAGGGTAAATTCAGGTATTGGAGAAAGGAGGTGACTCTAGGGCAGGCTCAAGAGCCTGCACCAGGTGGGGACTTGTTAACATGCACACTCCTGAGTCTCTAGTTAATCTCAATCTCTGGGGCTCAGGAATGGGCATTTAAACAGCATCCACCAATTTGATTCTTATGCACAGTAAATTTTGAGAATCATTGCTCTAAGACACACAACAGAACCATGGAAGGATTTACTGAAATACAGAGACTGTAACAGATACAGATCCCATAACTAGATGCTTTGTGTTCTTTCTTTCTTTTTATCCTAAATGCTTAGCACGCGGTAAATGCTCAGTGAATAACAACTAATTAGAAGCATTAAGATGTTTGAGTGCTTAGCCTGTGCCAAGGCATGTGATAATTGCTTTCGTGTATTTTCTCATGATATCCTGACAACCACCTTGCAAAAGGAGTAGTAGACTCACAATTCCCATTTTACAGAGGAGGAAACCAACACTCTGGGAGAAAAACAATGACTTCATTGAGCTGAAAGTAGCAGAAAGAGGTCTCAAATCTGTCTCTTTCAGGACACAGCTCATGTGTTACATTACCTCCTCCTTTCACAAATGAGCTTTCACAAATGAGCACGGGCCCCTCCTTTTGCTATCAGACTAAACATTACTCCGTAAGCATTATTAATTCTAGTAATTAATGAAATGGAGATAAAGCTTATAGAACTTTCGATTCAAACTCAGCTGAAATAAAAGCCTGCTCCTCCCAACCATGCTAGCATTGTTTATAAAAACAAAACAAACTCTATGGAGAAACACTTGAAAAAATGTCAGGTTTTTTTTTTAGACTCTCCTAATGCTTTCTTAAACCAAAGGGAGCCTGTTTTTCCAAACAGCTAGAAAGAAAGCATGCTCAGCAATATTTCTGGAAACACTGTTCTACTTAACAAGTATTAGGTTAGTGCAAAAGTAACTGCGGTTTTTGTCATTTAAGACCAAATTCACAGAAAAACCCTGTGGGTATCTCCGTCAGTATCATGCAACACCAAGGAAGAAAGGCCTTTGGCATTCTCTATTACGGATGCTGAGCACACAGAAACCTCACCTGCCTGGCTCCTCCATTCCCAGTTCCGTCTCAATCTAGAAGCAGGTGCTTCCTAATGCCCATCTGCAAGCCCAGCCACCCCAGGCACTGGGACTGATTCTGGCTCACGGAAAGAGTCTGAGGAGCCCTTGACTAGCAGCTCAACAGTTTGGTGAGTTTCCCGCGGATCTGGTGGTATCCTGGTCATCTCATCCACTGGACCTGGGTTCCTGCTGCTGGGTACTTAAACTATATCATAATTTTCCAATGTCTGCATTCTTCTCTTTCCTCGTCACCCCAGCAGCTCTGCGGCCAATTTTTGTTTTTAGTCACTAGGATCCTAACCTTGTCCCCATGTGCTCTGGGGTGATGTACCCTTCTGTTCAGTGGCAGACATCCTATTCTTTCTGTTACTAGGACTCTTCTCACAGCCAATGTGCTATTGTTCAATAATAATACTCAACAACTCCTATCTTTGTGCAAATAGGAGAAGCATATCTCCCTTCTACATCCACACAGCCTGTGGGCACCTAATGTCTAATATCTCAGCAGCGTCTAGATTTCAGCCACAACCTTCCCCTTAAGCAGGTGCCCTTGTTCACGGCTCACCTCCCCACCCTTACCAGGTGGCCCTGTTGACAACTGTGTCCATTCAGCCCCTGGACAGGCCCTTGTCCATCCTGGTCTCTGCCAGTCCTCAGCTCACACTGACATGCACTCCAGACTGTAAGGAACGTGGCCAAGAGATTTCACATCCTGCCTTCCTTCCTCTTTGTATTTATTACTCAGTTTGTGATTATTATCTGCAGTCATGAGCAAACCTGTAACAGAACCTCCAGCTCTAGCCATGCATTAACGTCTAGACTTTTTTGGTCCCCACTCATAGGTCCCCTAAGCCTAAGCGCCACAGACCCAGCCATCTCCATATAACCTAAGCCTTAATGGAGACATACAGGACTCCACAGTGATGAACGGAAAGGCCTCAGTCCTCCCTAACTCATTTACTACGTCTCGTTTAGGTTTGGTCCTTATTACTAATTAGAAAATCCAAACGTGTGAGGGCGGCTTCATTCACATCCCAAGGATCTCCAACCTCTAGCAGCGATGATCATGTAAATAATAGCACCGTTTATTAACCACTTACTAAATGGCCAGCACATGAAAGGATGAAATCATGGGTATTTTCATCTCCATGCTAGAGATGTTTAATACCCAGAGCAGTGGCCAGAGTTCAAACTGAGATCTGTCTGATTTCAAAGCCCACACTTTCAAATTGCGGCTTATAGAAAACTATAATTATCATATTTTTAACAGTATGAACTGTTAAACAGTAATTTAACAGTATCTTTTAAAAATAAAACAAGGGGATGATACTCATTAAATGTATGGATTTATCAAGCACACTTCTTTAAAAACATTATAATATGAAAAACTATTAATCTCATAATTAAAGAGAAATCTTAAAGTATCAGTAGTCTGGTTGATGGAATTTTCTGCTAGAAGGATGAAGTAATTCTCAATAGGGCATAATTAAAGAAATAAAAAACAGCACATATAGATTTTTTAAGCATACAATATTACACTGAAAAGGCTAAATTTAATCTGAAGTTATAAACTACCGCTATTTAATACAAATTAAGAAAAACCCTGACATTGCTGAGTAAATTAATAGAAAATCTGATTTATGCCCCCCTCCAAAGAAACTGAGTTGTGTAACTTCAACAAATGAGATCAAATGTACACACTTTGACTGATTTCCAAATACATAACTGTTTTCTTTCTGCATTGCAGAAGGGGAACATTTATAATTAACTTTCCCTCTCCTCCCCCAATTCTTCTGCTAATACAATGATAGGAAGCTGGTTCCTACACGCGTATATACACACACCCTTCTCCTTCAGCTTGTCAACAAAGCCAGTGCTTTCACCAAGTATCATCCTTAGCACATGTAGACAGATCCTTTCACTTAATTAAAGATCAGTCCACTGCCAAAGCAGATGACCAGATCCTCTCCTGAAAGTGGGGTGTGCTCACTGCAAAGAATAGGAAAAGGAGAGAAATGACTTCTCAGCAGAATTTTCTTCTTTAATATCACAGCAGGACACATTAAAAATCATTCAACTCATAGCAACTATATGGGATGCTAAAAATAAATGAATTGGAGTTCCTGTTTTCAAGATCTCTCTCTTCAGACTCAGGTCCATTGCAAATACACAAGTAAGCTTTTAAGGAACTTCTTTTGTTCCTACTGTTTATTCACCTTTTCTTTCCATGCCCATTTATTCTCTTAAAGTAAAAATTGTTCCTGTGTCTTCATATCAACATCCTGCTAATAAGATATCAGCTTCCAAGAACCATTAAATGTTGTTAACAGATTGATGACTGTGGCTAATTTTTTTTTTTTTAGGAGGAGTCTCGCTCTGTTGCCCAGGCTTAAGTGCAGTGATGTGACCTCAGCTTACTGCAACCTCCACCACCTGGGTTCAAGCAATTCTCCTGCCTCAACCTACCAAGTAGCTGGATTACAGGGACATGCCACCATGCCCAGCTAATTTTTCATATTTTAATAGAGACAGGGTTTTGCCATCGTGGCCAGGCTGGTCTCGAACTCTTGACCTCAAGTGATCCATCTACCTCGGCCTCCCAAAATGCTGGGATTACAGCATGAGGCACTGTGCCCAGCCTGTGGCTAATTTTTAAAATTGACTTTTATTCATTTCTTTTCTTCATTTTTTTGAGACAGGGTCTCAATATAGTGTCTAGGCTGGTCTGAAACTTCTGGGCTCAAGAAATCCTCCCGTCTCAGCCTCCTGAGTAGCTGGGGATAAAATTTTTATGCAGTAAAATTTACCACTTTTAAATGTGTGATTTGATAAGTTAGATAACAACTGGCCTGGCGCAGTGGCTCACACTGGTAATTCCAGCACTTTGGGAGGCCAAGGAGGGTGGATGACCTCAGGTCAGGAGTTCAAGACCAGCCTGGCCAACATGATGAAACGTCATTTCTACTTAAAAAAAATACAAAAATTAGCTGGGCATGGTGGCACACGCCTGTAAACCCAGCTAAGCGAAAGGCTGAGGCAGGAGAACTGCTGGAGCCCAGGAGACAGAGGTTGCAGTGAGCCAAGATGGTGCCACTGCACTCCAGCCTGGCCAACAGAGCAAAACTCTGTCTCAAAAAAAAAAAAGTAACCACCACTGAAGTCATGATTCGAAACACTGTCATCAACTCCAAAAGTTCCTTTGTTCCTGTCTGTAGGCACTTCCTTCCTCCCACTTCCTGGCCCCTAGCAACTTGATCTGCTATCACTGTAGTTTTGCTTTTCTAAAATTTCATATAAATGGAATCATATATATTTTATTGCTGACTTCTTTCAATTAACATCATACTTTTTTTGAAAAATGCTCAAGTTGTTGCTTGTACCAGGAGTTCATTCCTTTTTTACTGCTAAATAGTAACCTATTACATGGTCATACCACAATTTATTTATCAGTTTACTTGGCAATACACATTTGGTTTCTTTGCAATTTTTGGTTATTGTAAATAAAGCTGCATTAAACATTCAAGTACAACTTCTTGGGTGGATATATGTTTTCATGGGCAATGTAATAAATATGTTTACCTTTACGTAAAAAGTTTATCTTGCATTCTGGGACCTATCTCAGTTATATTGCACGCTGGTGTCAATCTCAGTTTTAAAAAAGCCCTACCTATATCAATTCAAATTATTAATGCTATTGAATAGTATGAATCACTGACCGGCATGGAAGAATCTCTTGATCTATTAATATCAAGCATTTCATAACATGTACGTACTCAACTTTAGGATATGGAGAACAGAACTCACGGCCTAGTGAAGGAGCTATTATGCTGTTTCAAAATTATCTCCATTATCTGCTACGAGAAGTAAAGCAAACTATTTTACACCTCTGCTATTCAAAGTGTGGTCCATGGACCAGCAGGACTGGCATCACCTGGGAAGTCGGCAGAACTGCAAAATCTCAGCTCCAACCTTTGATCCACTAACTCAAGTGGATTTTGGCAAACCCCCAGGTGATCTGCGTGTTTCAGAAGCACTGCTGGAGAAGGTCAGAGAAAAAAGGAATTGTATCCAACCAAGAAGATCAGGGCTTCACGGAAAACAGCATCTGAGGGGAACTGGAAGCTCACTCTAAGTTTTATGCTACATCTTTTAAGTCTTTATAGTGTGACCTTTTAACAGTTTCAATCAACAGAAGTTTCTCTGAAGAAACTAGTCAGATTCCCTTTGAAAATAAGTAGCTTTGGCCAGGCGCGGTGGCTCACACCTATAATCCCAGCGCTTTGGGAGGTCAAGGTGGGTGGATCACAAGGTCAAGAGATCAAGACCATCCTGGTCAACATGGTGAAACCCCATCTCTATTAAAAATACAAAAATTAGCTGGGCATGGTGGTGTGTGCCTGTAGTCCCTGCAACTTGGGAGGCTGAGGCAGGAGAATTGCTTGAACCCAGGAGGTGGAGGTTGTGGTGAGCCAAGATCGCGCCATTGCACTCCAGCCTGGGTAACAAGAGCAAAACTCCGTCTCAAAAAAAAAAAAAAAGAAAGAAAGAAAAGAAAATAAGTAGCCTTGAGAAAAATTTCCCACATCATTCTAGGGAATGTTTGTGGTTTTTGTTTTGTTTTGTTGTTTTTGTAAATTTCCTGGACACTGTCCTTCCTCTATTAGTTTCAGTCTTATCCTTCCATCTATTATTAGTGTCAGTATATTTCTGGTATTTTTGAGAGAAAATATGTAGGATTCCTCCATTCATATTATACCTATAGGACACACACCTCATTTTGCATCTCCTTCTGATTCACCTAAGTGCCAACTGAATCACTGCCCATACATTTACAATAGTTCCAGTTACTGCAATTCACAACTTGAACCCAAGAATTACAGATCTTACAGCTGAGAAGACCACAAGAGTTGGGGCCACTTAGACTCAGTCAGGACTTGCAATATTACAGAAGAGCCAGCCAGGATCTCAAAAAGTTTAAAAAAAACAACAACCTGTCAAAGGCTATCTTGCTAAGCAGCAGAGGTGGTAATAAAGGAGAACCTTTTACATGGGTTCCCCTCCAGCACAACTCCTGTCTTACTATGGGTGCACAATATTTATTTATTTGATGAGTAAATAAGTCAATAAAGGAATAAATAAATTATTATCTCCAAACCCATTTGTCTGTTTTTGTTCCAATCCTCTCTGATCTCTACAGTTTTCAGTTTCAGAATTTGCCCTTGGGTGGCACTACCCAGGCCTCCCTCTACTTCTCTGCCTGTGTTTCTAGATTTCGTCTTTCTCCTCTGCCCACCTAAATACAGGTGTTCTCAAGCTGTTATCCTCATCCTGTTTCCTAAACCCATGTTCTCATCACTTCTCACCTTAGCTACTGGCAATGATCTCTAATCTTTCCTCCTTTTAAACCAGCCCACATGCTGTACGTGGCATAAAATCCTCAAAGTGCAGCTCTCACCTTGTCACTTTGCCTGGTATTTTAGACTTCCATGACTTGGTCTTAGTAATTCATTGGCAATTTATTC